TAGTGTCCTCATCTCCAATTTCCGCTCTTCCATTTTGAATACATCAAACATGGGAGCAGGGGAAAGATTGTGTAACGATTGAAAGTCAATCACACTTACACAGACCAAATATTGATTAGAAATTGAAAGAAGCTCACCAAAAACCACCCAAATTGGTTTTTGAGCAAATACAAGCAATGAACAAGCTGGATGTAGTTGAATGTGTTGCCCAGTTTGAGCCACCTGATAACCAAGTTGATTGCAGCCAGAGTACATGGCTACGTTTTCAGCAAGTGAGGAAAGTATAACCCTTTTCAAATTCTTATCATGATTAGAGGGCATACAAGGGTCCCAACGCCAGTAACTTGGAGTAACAAGGTCCTGTTCACGCTCAAGGCAAGTTTCTAACTCCAAAATTGTGTCATGGCATCTCCTCATTGATTTGGCATTAATGCTGTTTTCCCAACACCATTTGTTCTTCCTTTCTCGAGGCAAAGCTTCCCATTCCTTGTACACAGAAAGAAGAGTAAAGAGGTCACCATCACAATGACAAAATTGCACTTTAAGACAATCAGATCTTTGTTTATCACATTCATTACCAACTCTGCAAAAAATGCTACTGGCATTGGCCATCACAGCAGCAAGGACAACCCCTTCTCTACCTAAACCATGCCTGAAACAGCCAAGAATAAGTTTACCTAGCCTGGGTTCAATTCCCATTCTAACCAAGCACCAACCCTCAGAAGTTAATTCATGAACATTATTGGTCACTTCAATGGCTCCTAGCTGAATTAGATTCCTGATTGCCATCTCAATAGAGCTAGCACTTGGAGCGTCCACAAAATCAAAATCCTGCACATTCTTCACTCCTAAAGCAAGGATCCTCAAAACTGCTACACCAAGATGAACTCTTCGAATCTCAGGCTCTTGATTTAATTCCATAGACTGATAATCAGCTTCAGAGTACAGTCTATAGCACGTACCAGGCTCAGTCCTCCCAGCACGACCAGCCCGTTGACGAGCAGAGCTTTGGCTGATCCAGCAAACCTTAAGTACATTCATCCCACTGCCAGGATCAAATCTGCTATCTTTAACCACCCCAGAATCTATCACATACTTAACACCAGGAATTGTAAGTGATGTTTCTGCAAGATTTGTTGAAAATATGACTTTTCTCTTTCCAGGGTAGCTTTGAAAAACACGAAATTGCTCTTCAGACGAAAGTTTTCCATGCAAGGGCAAAGCCACTGCTGAGGGAGCTTCAAACTTTTCACTGGCCCATTCTACTTCTATCTGAGAGGTTAAAAAGGCCAGAATGGTTCCCTCTTTCTCTGTTTTGTGAATCTGAGTGGCCATTCTGACAACATCAGAAACATATGAGGCAACAGAAACAGAAGCAGAACCAGAATGTCCTGCATAGTCAGGAGGAACATATTTGATATCCACTGGAAAGCTTCTCCCAAGCACATGAAAAATTCCACAGCCATAAAAGTAATCAGATAGCTGTTTTGCATCAGCAGTAGCAGACATAATGATAAGCCGCATTTGAACCCTCCGACAGAGTAAATCCTTTAACAAAGTCAACAGTAGATCAGTATTTAAGCTCCTTTCATGAGCCTCATCAATTATGATGCACGAAATCCCAAACAAATTCTTGTCATTCATGTAGTGCTGCAATAAACAGTGGTCCGTCATGAATGTTATCCTGGATTCAAACTCATGTGAGGATGAAAACGCAGAACAACATTTGATTGAATGACTTTTATAACATCCACTGCTTTCTTCCTGGACCCTTTGAGCCACTGATTTGGCAGCAATTTTGCGGGGTTGGGTACATACAACGGATTCTTTAGAACCTACACCAGAATCAGCCAGAAACTGTACCAACTGTGTACTCTTCCCAGAACCAGTCTCTCCAATTAATACCGTTATCTGTATATAAACTAATCAGATTAACAGCCAAAAAGAATATCTAAATTCTAAACAGAAAGATAATTAATAGTATCCACTAGCAATAAAAGTAAAAATAAACAGAAGTATAAGGGGAGAGTGTTAGATTTCATCTTATAGCCAATTAGCATCAACCAAAGTTGACCAACTGGTATAAACCACACCCTAAAATCAAGCTAGGGAATGTGGGACTTTCTAACACTCCCCCTCCAAATACACCTGCTATACCAGGTTATACACAAAGTATCCCCTCCCTCCACAAAACAGAGAAGCAACATAAACAGGGTATATGCTCTAATTCTATGTTAGATTTCATTTAAAGCCAAAGTTTTAAAAAAACAATTTGCGGCCACAATTTCAACCATAATGTCAAGTTTTCTGATGTCTACGCAACCGCTATTGTGGCCACATTTGTCTACAATTACCTGCACAATGTCAAGCCTTTTTTGTCTTAATGACCACAATTGCAGCGGCATTTTGTCCATAATTTCCCTCCATCTACAACCGTAATTTACGACATTTTCAAAACTAATCGACATTAAATGAACTTGTTCGGTATATCAACAACACTCCAATGATTGAGGCAGTTGATTAGGGACTTTCTAACCAGATAAGGAAAAAAAACTGGTACAAGCTTGTAAAACAATGATCCCATCCTATGAACACTGACTATACAAAACAATTATGACAACAAAAACATACCTGTTGATGATGTATCTCCTGAAGAATGTCCCTCCGGTATGCATAAATGGGCAATCCATCCTGAAGCCTCCGACGCTCCCTGCTGATGAAGCAGTGAATCCGCTTCCAATCACAATCTCCATCAAACCTAAACACAGGAACAGCATCAACAACCTCACCATCACCTCTACTCTCACCATCATCCTCATCCTCCAAATGCTTCAACACACACTCCATTGCAGACTCAAACTCTTTCACCCTCCTCTCAGCGAGGCTCTTCTCTTCAACGAGCCCTCTCTCCTTCTCCATAAAACGGTAGAACAAACCAACAGCCGAGGGCTTACCGAGACAATCCGAAACCCTCGCAATCTCCTCCGACAACCGATCAATCTCCGCCACCCAACGCTTCACCTCCTTTCCTTCCGTCATCAATTCCCTCACGTGCGCCGTGAACAGAGCCCGGAGGCGGCCCTCGAGATCACCCTTCACGGCGGCGTTGGACCTCAGCACCGGCGCGAAGTCGTGCTTCTCCGCCAGAAGAGACTCCCAGAAAAAGACGGCAGCGTCGCGCGCGGCGTCCCAATTTTGATAGCTGAGCGTGCCGGCGAGGTGGTCGACGGGGTAGAACGTGAAACTCTCCGGCTTCTGTTGGCATTCGTCGATCAGCGCCTCCACGTCGTCGCGGCGGAGGGTGCGGCGGCCGAGGACGAGCTCCACCGTAAAATAGGGCGCGGGCGGGCGGGAGGGCGGGAGCGGGCGGGGCTTCCATAGTTGCGGGGGACGGTGGATGGGGCGGGGACCGGAATCGCGCGGAGGCGGCGGACGGTGGACGGAGCGTGGACCGAAGCCGGCGTGCGACGGCTGACGGTGGAATTCGTAGCGGCTTTGGGAGGTTTTGGGGTTATAGGATTTCTTCATGGTGAAGAAATTGCGATGAAGGGCGAAACCCTAATTAGTGATGGAAAGTGAAGTGAAAGTTGATTTAATGGTAGTTGTAGTCTCTGCGTTGATCTTATTGGTCTTCGTTGTGTCAGTCACTCTTCACTGTGTCACACACACCTCTCTGCTTTCTTCTTTGCTTCACCATTCTTTATGCTCTTATATACTTTTTTATTTTGCATAAATCAATATCAATATAGCCTCTCTTTTTTTGGTAGAAAATTAGGGTTTTCTTTTTAAAATTAATTATTGTATTCAATTTTAATCTTAAATATAAAAAATATACATTTTCTTGTATTTGACCGCAGAGAAGTTACAGTATTTTTAAATGATTCTTAATTTTTAAAATATATTAAATTTTAAGTTTAAAAGAGATACAAAGTTATAAAATCTAAAAACATTCAATTAAAATATTCGTTCTTATCGAAAATAACTAATTGAACTTATATAGAAAAAAGATAGCATGTGTGTAAATGACTAATGTTTAAAATGAAGATATTTTTATTATTATATTAATAATTTCTTTTCTTCTGGATATAAAAATTTTATTTATTATTTTACACTATTAATGAGACTCAAGTTAAAAGAAAACCATTAAAAAAATAGTTGGGATTTTAAGAGGTGAGACAATTATGATTGGATGTTGTGGGAGTGTGGCATGCATGGATGATACCAAAGGCCAAAACGGTGCAGATTTTCTATGTTGTCTATGTTTGGGTTTGTCATTTCTCGATAAGATTAAGAGGGTGAGATTCTCGTGATCATCACTCACCCAATTTTGTTTTCTTTTCTTTACTTTTCTTTTCTCCTAATAATATCTTTTTATGCCCTTCCTTTTTTGTCTTTTAAATTTGAGATTAGATATATATACTTTACAAAAGTAATATTTGGTATCTTTTTATTCTTTTCTTATATGTAACTTTTTTATCCGATTTCTTTTATCACTTTATTTATTATAAAAATATATTATTAATAAAGAAAATATATTATTAATGAAAAAGATAGATCTAAAAAAATATGTTATTTAAAGATTTATATTTTTTTTAGATCTAAAAAATATGTTATATATTCTTGATAAAAAAAATTATTTTGAATTTTTCCATTCTAATATTCTATCTAAGAGTTATCAATATTTATCAAATTTGTTCTTAAAATGTTATTGAATCAAATGACAAAAATATTATTAAAAAAAACATGACTTTTTTCAGATAAGATAGTTGTTATCTGTTTTAATAACGAATTATTGGTTTAACTAAATAACTAAAATATATATATATATAATATTACTCCTTTATTTATTAAAAAAATATTATTAATGATAAAAAAATAAATACAAAAATATATTGTATAATGTTTGTTGTACTAATAACGTTCTTCAAAAAAAATGTCAACAAACAAATATTAAATATTAAAACACATTTAGAAAGATATTTCAAGAAAATACAAAATACATAAATTTACCTTAAATAAAGAAGATAAAAATGTGAGCATATACCTTTTAGAAATTAACAAATTACGGTTGTTAATAAATAAATAATGATATATATATATATATATATATAATTTATATAAAATAAAAATTACTACTAAAAACTCTCTTTTTTATTTTTCAAAAACCTCTCTTTTAAGCATTTGATACTTCCTATCGTAAAAAAAAGTACTTTGTAACTTCGGTTATATTATGTAAAAAATAATAAAAATAATTTATGTTAAATATGTACAAGTAATTAACAATTAGAAAGGTTGATTTACGCTTAAGTAAGGTTAAGAGTTTGAATCCAGTCTTGTATATGCGGTCGCGTTAAATCTTGAGGCCAACTATCCCACCCTTTAAAGTGCCTCCAAGTAGCGAGAAGATTAGTCACTACTATCGATAATGGATACTCTAGGAACGAACCAAAAAAAATAAATTAACAATTTGAAAGTGTGAATAGTTTTTAACATCTTTTCTTAGTACTATTGGATTTAGAGTTGAACAATATATTCAAAAACTATCGAATTCATTATCTAAATAAAGCTAGTTGCTCTCAAGTAAAAGATTGTAAAACAGGTACTTCATCAATTTTGCCATGCATTTGGTCTAAAGTGGAAAAATTTTACTTTCATTATTGTGTTTTAACAGACAACCATTATTGGTAGTATCTAGGCTTTCCTCTTATTTCTAACAGAGTTAAGAAGTCAAAATTTGCCTTTTTGATCGACAAAATCAACAGTAAACTGGATGGTTGGAAGACTAACTTGCTAAATAGAGTAGGGAGAGTCACCTTAGCAAAAAAAGAAAAATTAACTGTTATTCCCACTTACACTATGCAAAATATATGGCTTCCAGATGGTGTATGTGATGCTATTGATATAAGGGTCCAAAGTTTCATTTGGGGCAAACCTTGTTGCCACTGGGTTGGTTGGGATGAGATTGTTAAATCCAAGCAATAAGGGGGTCTTGGCATTCATCATTCTTGAGTTGTTAATGTGTCTATGCTTGATAAGAAGGTATGATTCTTATTGCATAATTTAGGAAAATTGTGGGTTGATATCGTGAAGCATAAGTACTTTTGGCTAATATGTTTATTTTGCAATCTACATGTAAACAAAGGGTCTCCTATATGTGGGATTCCATTTTAATTTAAAGGCACTGGAGGTTTTAGAAAATGGTTTTGTTTATAGAGTGGGCAAGGGCAACATTTCTTTGTTCTATGATAGCCTCTTGGAAGGTGGCCTGCTTTGCAATATAGTAGACTGTCCATATTGCTAATAACATTATGAAGATCAAAGATGTTTTTTTGTTGATGGCCAATGGAGGTGAAATTTGTTGTCTATCCCAATTTTTGTAAAACATGAAAAAGATTTTGCTTAATCTCGTGTTGGAACTGGAAAATATTTTGATTTGGGGTTCATCATCTAATGGTGTGTATTCGACTAGTTTCACTTTCAAGTGGATCACAATGGAGCTAGTCATTCATTTAACCTTGACAGAAAATTGGACATGGATTTGGAAATTAAAACTACCTGAACACATTAAACACTTTATTTAGTTGGTCTTCCATGACAAACTACCCACTACCCAGATTCATGTTAAGTCACATCTATTTTTTGATTTATCTAGTTGCAGGTGCAGAGCGGGTGAAGAGTGTCTAATCACTACAAGAAAATTGTCATATAGTGACACACATCCTATAACGATATTATACATGTCACAAAAAATTACTTTTACCCACACAATAATTACAATATATGTTGGTATATTATTAAAAAGTGTGAGTATAAGTTATAGTGACATACGAAATATGTTGTCAACTTTCATTCAAAATCAACATTATTTATGTGTAACTATATGTCAAATAGACATATACTTACATATATTGTACCTATAGTGATACTTTTTATATATTATTATATGTAACATTTCTTGTAGTGGATTCATGTTCTTCGTGATTGACCTTCTAGAAAAAAGGTGTGGGATCACCTATGTTTGACGCAACATCAATCATTTAATCAAAAAGCCGCTTCTTTTTGGATACATTCCTTCTCTACTAGAGTTGGTGGTTCCTTGTTCACTTATATTTGTTGGTTCGTATGGAAGGCTCACAATGCCAACATTTTTCAAGACAAACAGTAGCCTTTCTGGTTTGTTATCAACCAGGCTCTAACAACTCTTCAAATCATGGATTCAGAAGTTATTAGTCCTAGGAGTAAGCCACCAATCCATGTCTCTTGGCAATTAACCTCCACAACATGGAACGGTGAAGACCAATGGTTATGGAGATTTACAAGTTCATGTGGTTCTTCAACAAATATGAATACAAAACTTCATGCTATTATGCATGGATTAAAGTTCATGCAGGAAACTGGTTATACTTGAGTTATTTGTAAATCCAATGTTTTAATTATAATTGAGCCATTGTCATTGGATGACATTCAAATGCATCCAATGTAGTCGTTATTAAGAAGATTCAGTTTTTTAAAATCTATACCTTGGATACTTTTGTTTGTTGATGCAATTTCTTAAATTTTTTTAATTTAAAATACTTGATTTAGGCGATAAAATTTAATTTCAATCATATGCAAGTTTTACAAACTTTTAATATATTTAAAATTCAAAATTTCAATGTCAAATTTTATTGAAAATAAACATTAGTCAAATTTTATATATTTAATAATTTTTAAGAATAATAATAGATAATATTCAATAATTTAAATAATGTAAATATTTAATAATTTAAAAATATAAGCATTAATAGAGAAAATAAAGGTAAGAATATAAAAAGAAATGAGCGAAAATAAAGAGAAGGAGTGGGAGAGTAAAAGTAAAGGATAAAAGAAAAATAAAAATATTCACACAAAAATTATGAACTCGATTGAGTATGATATGTGTAAATTTTAGTAAAAAGTCTCATAAAATCTTTCTTACAAAATAATTCATCAAAATTTGTATGTTTTTTATTATCAAAATATTTTTTCAAAATAAAAAAAGTTTCAATTGAATATCATTGAATCTTTACATGTTAAAAAATTTAATTATTTTAATTGAATAACGTAAAATTTATTTTTGTTAATATCATTAAACTCTAAAGTTTAACTCCTAAAAAAAACACTTTTAAAATTTCAATTTAATTCATCTCCTTTAACATAAAGATTTTTTCTTACCGAAAGAAAGCTTATTAAGATGAGTATTGTTATATTCTCTTAATTTTTAGAATATATTTTTTTATTATTTTTAATTTGTAATTTTTAAATTAAAAATAGAGATATTAAATAAGTTTTGAAATATAAAAACATTTAATTATATTATATGATAAATGAATAATTAGTTATAGAACAATTTAAAAATTAAGATAGCAGTGTATCAATTATTAAACTATAAGAATTAAGATAATCGTGTATCAATACTTAAATGATTTGTGTGACCCACGAAAATAGTAAAATCATGTTAGATTTGTTATTTAGGAAATTGGATTAAGATTTTATAAAATTTGAAAAGATGTTTTTTTTAGTAAACATTTAGTTTGTTTTAAGAAAGATAGTAGAAGTAGTCAATAGATTTTTGAAAGATTTGTTATGATATTTTGGTATGTTATGTAAGTTAGTCTTTTTGTTATACTTGATTACTAATTATGTTAATCTCTTGAATAGTAAGTAG